TTTCTAGGGAAAATTTTGTTGATTGTAATTCATATGGAATAATGGGTTCTCATTGTTTGCTGACTCTCTGATCACTTGTTATGCTAGGTTGACATGATATCTTTAGAGATTTAACTTAGTAGGATTTAGTAAATCATTAAAGGGTTGAATCCCAAAAATTGTTTGGCAACAGGTTTAGTAAATCCAGTTAAATCCTGTTAAACTATTTTACAACTTCTGATAGGATTTAAAACTCTGTTATGTTTGTTAAAATTTAAGAAAAAAAAGAGTTGAAGATTACAATATTTAAATATATCTAATTATAATTAATCTGTTAATATATCAATTTGTTTCTGTATTATTAATCAATTAAATTAATAAGAATTAACTTTAAAAAAAATAAATTAAAATCACAAACCTATGTTCCCCTTCTCTTTTCTTTCCCTCTCCTGCCCGAAACTTTCCCCTACGTCCCTTTCCCTCTCCGATTTCGCCCAAAGGCGTCGCCTTAGAGACCGAACCTCGTGATACAATCACGATTAGAGCTAGCTGGGAAGGCCAGGATAGGATCGCAACATACAAAGACTACCCCATATTTCTCCTCCTTTTGCCCCACTCCTAGATGAAACCATTGAGGAAGGTGAGATGTTCGTGCGAGTCTTTCTCTTCGTGCGTTTACGGATTTACGAAATCTGTTGAACAAGAGGATTTACTAAATCTGGGATTTATGCACAAAATGAGTGAAATTTGGATTTAGTAAATCTGCGGCTTTATTTTGTCCAAACTAACCTTCAGGCATGATATACCCAAAATCCAGGCTAAATTCTGGTCTAAAGCCATTGCTAGACGGCCCCTTAGGCTTCTAATGTTTTAATGCTGTTGTGCTTCATTGTGTTGCGAGAAATGAGTGTGTTGCGAGAAATGAAGTCATTACTGTTGTCAGAGGGAAGAAAAAACTTATTCTGAATGTGTGTTGTTTGCGGTCAAACAGTTATGGGAAAATTATACATGCATTGTGAGGCTGTTTGTTGCATGTCTCCTGGTCAAATCAAATATGCTGCAAACAAGGTTTTTAAAATTGCAAATACAGTGGGGGGAAAAGAAAAAAAGAAAGAGACTTTGTTAAAAAATAACCATGCTTGTTTTTAAAATTTTCCTGTGTTTTGAATTATGAGGCTGTATGGTTGGATGAAGGAAGTAGTGTAAATTTGAGAAATTTTAGCAAAGTGAAAATTTTGGTAATTGGTTTGTGGATTAGAGAAAAGATGGCAGTCTAGAATAAATTTCTGAGTGATCTGGAATCATCAACTTGATTCTGCAATACAATTGTATTATGATATCAAATTGGATTGGGAATGATTATGAAATTAATGTAGGACTGATGATGTAAAAGGCTATGAAATTAGTATTGTTTGAAACCTAAGGTTTCTTGAGAACTTTGTGTTTCCATGAATGAAATTGAAGAAGCTATTTTACGGCTGCATAAAATTTAGTAGGTTTCTTGAAAACTTTGTGTTTCCACGAATGAAAATGAAGAATCTATTTTACGGCTGCATAAAATGAAGGGGTTCTAGAATTTCTTCTCTCTAGTTGATTTCATGGATGCATGGTTAGGCTTTTTTTCTTGAATGATGAGCGATAGAGAATAATAGAAGATGACACCATGATAGTTGAAATTCATGCAAGATGAGGTTAAGGGAGATAAGATAGTGAATTTCCATGCAAGACATCTTCCTCCACCCCTAATTAGGGCTTCCTATGCAAATTCTAATTCTCCTCCCATTCATGCTCTATCAAATGAGAGGCATTGGAGAGATAGGAAGAAAGGAATGATATTTTACCTAATATCAAGAGTAGTAAGATAGTTTGTGAGTTTAGGATTGATGTTAAATGAATTTTAATTGAACGCCTAATATGACTTAATATGTAGCTATTTATAGGAACTTGAAATTAGTGTGTTCAGATCATGAATCGATTCATAAGTTGTCTAATAAGATATACACCCTATTTTGATAGCTTATTTTCAATTTTCTGAAATAAGCTAACTTATAAAAACACGGTAATTCAGCTATATAAATGTTTCAAACATCTATTTATCATTAAAAAAAAATCATCCTAGAATGTTCGTAGAATCAAAAAACCAAATGAAGAGTGGAATACTAAAGATAGAAAATGATACAGTAGAAATCCTGCATAATTGATGTGGAAGAAGAATGCGAGTTTCAGCATTCAGGACTTCAAGTTGAAAGTCATTACATATGCCTCAAACTCGATTTATTAGTTATCCAATAAAATATACGCTTTATGTTGATAGTTTATTTATGAGTATTATTATCAGATAAACTTAGATAATTTATAAGAACACATCAATTCAGTTTGTATATGCCCGGAACTCTGATTACCATAAAAAATCATCCTAGAATTTTCATACAAATAGAAAACCGAAAGCAAAGTTGAGCCCTAAAGATTGAAAATTTTCCAATACGTATCCTCCACCTCACTCACCCCCCCCGCCCCCCCGCCACTGATGTGGAAGAAGAATATTTGTTTAAATATGCAGACTTACAAGTTAAAAGTTAGGAGCATTTACATGCATACCACGCTACTCAAATGTATTTAAATATCTAACAGTTAAACAATCATATTTTAATGCATAACTCTCAAATATTTAACATCACATCAAAAATATCATCATCACTATCTTTTTATTAGTGAAATATGCATTTTCCAGCCTTACATGGTGTTATGTGTAAATATCGAACTTTGGGCGTTAGATATGTAATTACTTAAGATTTCTGTGGTATGTATGAAAATTTCCCTGAAAGTTACTGCACATGCTTCAAACTAGATCACAATAGAACCCAAATGGCAGCAACCGTCGCGAAGACAAAATACCTGCACTTCTAATTTATTGGCAACAAAATGAAGTCTCAACGTTTCACTACCATAGCAAAGAAAAAGAGAATCCATAGAACTGACAAAATATAGAATCCATTACTCAGATAACAAATAATCCCGAGAACCAACCCAACAAAGAATTCAGGGATCCATTGAATTTTAGATCATTAGTGCAAATTATTTCTCATAACTACAAGCTTTTATTGAAATTTATATCTCTATTATATAAAAAGAATACTAAAACTACTAAAAATCAGTTATGCTTATATTTTATATTGTCAGTCTTTAATGCACATAGAGTAAAGTATGCTTCAACCAAACCTAGAATAATGTATATATCAATTAACACACAATTTAGGTTATATCACAACTCTTGAAAATAAATATTATCTCCCTGACCCAAACTTCTATCACTCCTATATTGGATATTAAATTTAATATGATTTTTTTTTGAATTAATGATTTGTGCACTCCTTTAGATTTGCAAATTAACAATGTAAGAATTCTTGACTTTAAATGACTATGATACAATGCTCTTAAAATTTAGAACATGTGACAGTTTTGAGAGACTGCATGGGAACAATTATGCA